TTGAAGATCGTTCACCTAGACGCTCTTTCTGCGATATTATTAGCTCAACAGAGCTGGCTCAAGACGAGCTGTTATGGTCGTTGAATGCCCGCCGTCTGTCCTCCGCCCAACATTTAGTCTGTCACATTATTGCCTCGAGTGTAACCAAACTTGGTCTGGATGTTTGTTCCAGTGATTGCTTGGACAAGTTCGAACAGAAAAACTAAGTCACAGGAGCCAAAAAAAAAAAAAAAAAAAAAAAAGAAAGGAAAAATATAAAACTTTCACAGCCAAAATATGGAAACACATTGTTAACACTGTGGAGGTAAAAGTGTCAGCCTAAACTATCCCGGAAATTGATCAGAATAGAAGTTTGTTTTAGATAATTTTAGCTCAATCACGAATTTGGGTCATCTGAAGTCACACGATCCAAATATAGAAAAAGTTTGTTAATACCTTAGAGGTAATATTTTCATTCAAAATATAATGTTAATGTCACAGGGTGGGAAAAAAGGGGAAGCCTGACCGGGACTAGAACCCGGGACCCTCGGAATACCGTACCGCGGCTCTACCCGGCCCAGAAAACATTACATATAGGACCGATGTCGGCCCGATATCATCTTCAATGTCGGCCCGATATCGGCATCCGAAGTCGGCTCGACATCGGATGTGCAACCCGGCTCAAAGTCGGGCCGATATCGGATGCCGATATCGAATACCGACTTACAGCCGATATTATACCTTCATTCATAATAAGCTTTTTTATTTCTAACAGCATATTGGTTTGCTTTCCTTAACATATAACAGAACATATATTTATTTTGCAATACCTTTTATTACATCAGCAAAATTAAAAATTCATATACATAATATATTTTATAATTTACACATAAATACTTCAATGTTTAAAAACCATGTATGTTTAACTTACGATTTTTCCTTGCTAAGTTAACACACATTAAAATTTAAACATTAATCTTTACATGTTTCCTATAAAGATCAGTCAAAATTAAATTGTTTTAACAAAAATACTTAAGTCATGTGACTGGCAAATACAACCTTGCTATATTCATACTACTTTTTGTTTAGATAAAATAAGCTCAATGGCATTTTTCTTACTTGTTCCTTTGCTTTTTTACATCCTGTAGACTTAAAATCTGTCTAGAAAGTGTCAAGCTGTTATCTCTGATATATTTAGTAACTGTATTTTAGATTTTGCACATTGATTCATACTCCAGTTATTACGAGTTTGAGTAAAACTTTAAAAGAATAGCTGACTTTTTTCACATTATCATGTTGAATAGTTAAACAGCATTTTGTAATTTGTACATGAGTTAATAATGTCAAGTGTCAATTGTGCATGGTTCCTCCAGGAGTCCCGATATATATGAACTTCTTCAATTGTTTAGTTTTTAGTCTGCTGTATTGCATCAATTGGTCATCTTTAGCTTCTATTCTTTCTCCAAAACCAGCTATTTCAGTTGTCAGCACTCTGATTCGGGTATGTTTGTCATGTCACAGACAGATGATTTACCTGCAATGAATCATTCATGTTTCAAACATTAAGAAAATATATCAACATAATAGTATATTCACATTTTTATTACTAAAGGACTATGTTAAGAAAAGTATCCTTTCAAAAGGCAAGCAGGCACTATCTTTTTCTTTTAAAGTAATCAACATTTCATTATTTCTGATTAAAACTTTCATAACATTATTTCTGATTAAAACTTTCATTTGACATCTCTATCATCATTATAACTTTTAATAAAAATAAAAAGAAGATTATAACTTGATGTTTATTCTCTCTCAGCCGCTAAATTTCAGGCAACAATTTAAAAACAGTCGCGAAAATGTATTACAAAATAATTTTCGGCGAGATAATTATGAAATTCCCAAACCTACGTTCAAAATATCAATGACGCCGAATACTACAACAATGAATTTATTCAAAAGCATAAGTAATTTATAAATTTACCAGTAGTATTTGAGAAAAAATCCACTTTTTTTAGTTTTGGCGCAAACTTCTTCTGATGGCAGGTGGGCTAGAAAAATACCACGTTGTGCAAATCACTTATACACTAAATCGGCAACAGACATGGAGCCGATATAGCACCGAAGTATTTTTTATGAAAACGACTTAATTACTCTTTACAAAAGCATCGATTTCTTGCTGAAATGAATTTGAGAAGAATATACTAAAAAACTCATTTAATTGAATAACAGGAAATAAATGTATATTGGACCTATATCGGACCGATATCATCCTGTCTTTAATAAGTTTGTCTATATCGGATATATATCGGTTCGATAGCGGAAATCCGACTTCGATATTCCGACATTTAGCCGATATCGGCCCGATATAGGTATGTTTGCTGGGCGACTGAGCTATCCGGCCGCTTACACATCTTCTCCCCTAAATAGTGAACAATTCTGAACCGTCACGTACTCCCCTGCTAATGAAATTCGTCCTCGAATTTTACAGAGTTACAGAGCAATGTAAGTTAGACTCTGAGCTTACACTCAAGGTCCCCCACACTGGCCACCAAATGTCACGGATATACAGGAGTTCTCACTCAGGAGGATAGGGCGTTCGAAGAGAGACCTGTAATTACATGCTTGACACACAATAAAATAGAGATAAGGAATCAGTGAAGAAAACAACAGCTCTCGCTATAAGAGTCTCATTTCTTGTGCTTTCAATAATTCCAAGCGAAATACATACACATATCATAGTAATTTATGTTTACAATGTTTTATAACATAAAAAACACCTGTAATTATATTGTTGGCACAAAATAAAATAGAAATAAGGATTCAGTGAAGAAAACAACAGCTCTCGTTATAAGATCCTCATTTTTTTTGCGCATGCGTAAAGGTAAGCGTGACCGAATTCAAAAAAAAAATGAAGTGAATGAGGCCCGTAAACGTGTTAAAGGTAAAATGAAGTATATTTGTATGAAGTTGAATAATGATATGGAAGCTTGAACTAGAGACGATAGGGGAATGATATAAAGAGTATAGGTATAAAATACAGAGTATTCTAGCAAAGACAAAATGACTCTGTGACATTAACATTCTTGAGGTAATATTGTCAGCCCAAATGTCCTGAAAATTTGTCACAAAGGTTGGTTTAGATAATTTCTAGATCAAGTTCGAATTTGGGTCATTTGGGGTCACACAACACAAATATGGAAAAAGGTTTGTTAACACTCTTGAAGTAATATTTTTATTACAAATATAATAGAAATTTGTCAAAGGTTGCTTCTTTGATTTCTGAGTCAAGATAGAATATGAGTCATCTGCGGTTAAAAACTAGGTCACACGGCCCAAAGTTTGGAAAACCTTATATCACACTCTAGAGGCAATATTTTCAGCCCGAATATCTGAAACGTGTTGTATTGATTTCTTGCTCAACTTTAAATATGATCCATTTGATGTCAGAACATAAATATGGAAAACTTTGTTTTACCTTGTGTTTTATGACATTTGTCAGCAATGTGCTTAAATGCTTTCTATGTCGAGTTTGAATATGGTTCATCTGGGATCAAACACTAGGTGACACAGCACAAATATGTAAACACCTTGTTTACTTTATTATTCACTTTTTAAGGTGCAGATACGAACGTTATGATATCAGTTTAAGATTATGACATTATATCCGCTTTTTATTTAAAGCTAACAATATATATATATTTAAAATGTACATTGCCATTAAGAGCCATAAAATCAGGTTAGCAATAAAAGGACCATCATGATCCTCTTGTATGATTTCTTTCAATATCATACTATCAAGATATGTGGTTCCAACTTTCTTACTTGCATATTTTAAAATTACCATTAGCATACTTGCCACTTGGCAGCAGCTGTCACGCGCAGTCTTTCCTGCAACAACTTCCGTATTATTTACTTTCTCATATTGTTTTTTCTATAAATTAAAGTGAAAGGCTTTATGAGGAAATAACTTAAGACTAAACTGAGTCTCTGTCCTCAAAGTACACACATCTGGGCTTTCGCTTTTTTCTTTGATTAAGATAATGTCATCCGCAAAGTCTTAACATAATTTACCTAAAAGGCCAATGATACCCGAAAAACGATCCTATTTTTATTTCTCAAAGGTTTTTTTTTATATTTGTTGTCCTGTTATAGTTTACAAAAAAAATACTCACTGGCCAATTATCCGAACTATATTTTGCTTGTGCTGCTTTTTGGGAATTAGTACTACTTTGTTTACTGTTTGCTACTTATATATATAATAACATTAACTACTCATTTTTGCCTATTCTACAGGAGGACAAACATGTTCGTTTTTTGAGGCATAATGTGCCTTTAACGTTTATAGTATAGGGTTAACGCACGTTTTTCCGTGTTATAACGTATGCAGAGTCCAGAGGAACGGTTGGGGCCCGAGCCCGGTAGGGCGAGGGCTCCAACAGTTCCGAGGGACTCTGCAGACTTTATAACACGAAATAAACGTGCGTTGACGCTATCATAGCATAAAATTTTCAAACAGATTCGTGATGTATAGTTTATACAAAACACGATTACATTAAATTCTTGTGCTTGGACGGTATTTATCCAATTCTATGTTTTACGTATGCGTTTCATTTTTCCGGGGCCAACAACTTGGAAAATTCTCGGAACCGAACGAAATTTTGAATTTTAATTGATTTAAGAAAGCTTGGCCTTTGGAGATTTATTATCTCAAGAAAAAAAAAAACAACGTTACATTACTCTACCCTCTACCCAAGACAAAACACGACCCTCAGATATTCTTAGAATGATTTCAGATTGACGGTAGAAAAAGATCATATAGATCAGTGACATCAGATTCAGAATCGTTTTTTTTTTCAAGCAAACAAGTTTACAAAAAAATCAGGCACTAAGCATTATTCTCTCAAAGAAATATAAAGAGCATTTATCAACATAAACATAAATAAAAAACATTTTCTCATATTAATTTTGTGTTATCTAGTTTTGTAAGTTAATCGGAGTGTTAAACTGAATGACAGGTAGATGGACCGTTCCGATTATTTCCGCCTATTGCGCAATCCCTAGTGATTGTTGCTATGCCTCACAAGCCAGCATCCAAAATGGCGGCCGTACCTGTTTCATCAACAACAACCGACTCGCTAGAAGATGTACCCGATAATATATCTATTAGTTTTCTACCTAATCATAGAAGTCTTATGGAAAGGATTATAAAAAGAGGTTTAAATTACTATCTACAAGGCTATGTCCATCAAATTAGGGTTCATATTGACGATAAACCCAAGGTAAAGGTTGTTGCTCGGTGTTGGAGATCTATGAGGAAAAACGAAAAGCCGCACACGCTACACATTGAGATTCTTAAAGATACTATAACAGAGTCGTACTGCTCTTGTAAGGTTGGGTAAGTAATCGAGTACGTAAAATTGTCAACAACTTAATTAAGTAGGCTTTCTTTGGGGATACTGCATTTCTCTATTTTAGAATAAAAAATGAATTGCACCCCTCCCACTTTCCAAAAAAAAAAAAAAATAATAATCTAATAAAATAGAATAAAATAAATAAATGAAAAATATAAAAAAAATGTATAGACTATACACCATTATGTAGATCTTTTTATTAAATAACTATGTCGGATTTTTTATTTATTCTCTTCAATGCAGAAAAAAATATATATTTAACCATCCTTGAATAGGCCTAATTGTACAGAGTCTGATGTAGTCTTGTAGAAACATTTTCGTGCTTTTGTAAAAACGATTTACTGTATAGACAGATAAAAGAGTCATGGTGAATTTTTTCTGTCAACTTAATCAAAAAAGATCTAATGATAACAAAAATGATGATCATCATCATCCTCATGATTTATCATCATCATTGTTGAATCACTATTTGATACAATAATAATGTGCAGTCTTGTATATTTCAGATTAACAGGCCACTGTTCCCACATTATTGGTCTAGTAAAAACCCTTCAAGGACTGAAACTACACAACATCAGTAATGTACCTGACCAGTTGAGCTGTACAAGTGTGCCCCAACAATGGCATGTTCCAAGAGGAGAGAAAATAGAGCCTGTCCCACTTAACCATGTTGTGGTGGCCAAAGCTTGTGAGACAAGGAAGAGAAAACCAGTTTTTTGCCAAGTTGACACTCAGTACAAGTAAGATTTTAAACAAAGTAAAAAGTAACTACAAATATGTTTTTAAAATTTCCTTCTTTATTTATCTTACATAACTATAACCATTTAGGCGTTTTACTTATATAAATTTTAACAATAATGTCAGATACTTGTACATTTTACATGTATAAAATTTGTTAAAATGTTTTAATTTATGAAATCTTTCACATAAATTACAGGCTTCCAGAGGTTACCAGCAAAGATATAGAGCAGTTAAAAGGGGCCAAAGGCACACCTCTTGAATACCTTCTCTCATCAAAGAGGCCATTAGTTACAACAGATCTTGGTCAAGTTCAGCTTGGTTCATTTCTGTCATATCAGGTAATATATTTGTAGATACAATATTTTAACATCTATGTAATATACATAAGGTTTAATTGAATTGCTCATTCTTAGGTAAAATGTTTTAATCACAGAAATTCATTGAAATCTATGATATTCTTACTAAATATGTTGAATTTGGATAAAAGATTGAATAAACTATGTATAGGAAGCTGCATTCCCTTGAACAGGTCAAGTAAAGTTGTTCTTTTCTTTAAAAAAATGCCAGTTTTTGTAATGACACTATACATGTATATTCATATTGTGACCACCTATAGTATGTAGAATTTTAAACATAACATATCTACTTTGTGTGAAGTCAATACATGTTTATTTTATATTTACTATGTACTAATTATCAATATTTTCTAATATCAAATTTGAGCATAGTATATCTTTAATACAAATTCATCCAAAATCAATCAAGTAATAACATAACTACTAATTTTGCAGTAGTATGTTATTATTTGTTAAACAAATGTTATTGCAACTCAGTTATTTGTCTTTTACAAATATTCTCTGATGTAATGTAAGAATTGCACAAACAGACCAGATCTTATTAGCTTGTTTAAATAAAGATGTAGGAATTTTATGAGACAACAATTTATATGTCTTCACTTTAGCTATTACTCTTTCAACATGAACTCTGTGTTTGGCAATTTTTTGAGTTAAATAAGTATCAGATGAAGACATCTGTGATGAACAAGAAGAAAATGGGGGAATGTTTAACACAAGGCCAAGTTTATTAAGTTCCTCTTGTATTGTAAACCCCTTATCAGCCATTATACCATCACCTGGATTAATGTAACCATGGTTTAACAAATCTTTCAATATGGCATAAAATCCACTTTCTTCACAGATCATTTTATCTGATATTGAACCAGTAAAAAGCTCAGAAATAAAAATTACAGATCCACTTGGGTCACACCCAATTAAAGCTTTAAGAGTTGTAGATGATTTGTAATCACTGTACATTTGACTTTGAAGAGCTAATGCATTTGGTACTTGAGTTTTGAATTCTGAACCATCTATCATAATTAAGGTTGTAGGAAAATCTTTCCTAAATTCTGCTGGCATTCTAGATATAATATCATCCCTTGGGGGCCACAGTGAAATCTGGCCAAATTTAAAATATAAAATATCTAAGAGTTTGTTAAATACAATGCCTGTTGACTGCAAATATAAACTAAATCTCATTGCCAAATCTTTCAGTCCAAAATCATGTCTCAATCTGCATAGTACTAGAAGAAGTGCATTTTCATTTGATAGTAGCTTAGTGTCAGTCCTACCATATTTTACAGTTTCTTGTGGATTTGGAAACAAAAAAGAAAACAAAAATAAAAAGTTGACATAAGTTATTCCAGTGTAATATTTAAACAAGTTTTTCATATCCTTTTCCCTATTTCTAATTCCTTCTGCAGAAAATGTTTGTTTCTTTTTCATATCTCTTTCCAAATGTTGTAATTTTGATTTCAGTCTATTAATTTCTTTGTCTTTCTCCAATAATTGAATCTTTAGCTGCAGGTTTTCCTCATGTAGATGAACATCTTGATTCTCTGAAATAATATAACTGCATTTTAATTTCAGACAAGAAATTTGAAGTCACTGATTCCTGTAACAACAAATGGCTGTGGTAACCTCTGTGTCACAAACTCATCACCAATTAGACTTCCTGAAAAGTTTCAGCACTTGATAAGTCATTATACAATAACAGATCCACAGACATTAGAGCAATGTACAAGAAACCAGGCAATGTCTGAAAAATGGCATCAAGCTAGACAAAACAGGCTTACAGCATCAAACTTTGGTGAAATCATGTTAAGGAAATCTCCCCCTAATGAAAAATTACTGTCACGTTTATTTTCTACCGGTAAAGATATTCATGCCCCATCTATATCTTATGGGAAAAGAAATGAGAGCAAAGCCAAGTCTAAATATCTAGCTCAGTTTCCAGGAAGACACATTCATGAATGTGGTTTTGTTGTAAATAATGAGTTTCCATTTTTGGGTGCAACCCCAGATGGAAAACTCTGTGATAATGGAAAAGTAGGGATTATAGAAATAAAATGTCCCTATAGTGCCAGAGACTTGACTGTTGCTGATGCTTGCTGCCAATTAAATAATTTCTTTTTACACACTGATCAGAATGGCCAGGTTGTACTGAAATCAAATCATGCATACTATGCCCAGGTTCAAGGGCAGCTCATGATTACAGGTAGTTCATTCTGTGATTTCATTGTATATTGTCCAAATGAGTCTGACTTGTTTGTTCAGCGTGTTGAACCAGATGTTCAATTTATGACAAATATGCTAAATGTATTAGCCAGTTTTTTTGAACAGTATGCTCATCCTTTCTTACATTGCAGTAATGGAAATGTATAGTTTCAAACTATATTTAAATTGTGTATGACATATTACAGGTTATATGACCATGCATAAGTAACTGTCCATTTTCTCCCATGAAGTGCTGTAATTATGAGAATAAGTGATTAAAAAAGAATAAATACAAATAACAATAATGGAGGTAGGGCTCTATATATGACATAGATCTATAAATGAAACAAAAGATCTGTATAGAGTAACCATCCGCCGATGATCCGGCTGAAAGGGTCATAATGTCATAATATAAAATGGCTTTTTAGTATTTTTTGTATGTTTAACAAAATAACCAAATATTATTTTAATAATATGGTTTAAAGATCAGTCCTCTAGCAAATTATATTATTTTCATGGTCACTATTTTTTTGTAACATATAATCTATAGTCTACCAACCATGAAGTTAGCCATTTAGCATGGTGCATCAACATATGCCTTTTTTACTGAATTGATAATGAATTTTCTGACAAGAGTCAAAGATAAAATGTATTATGAAAATATAAAAAAGTTTGGAGCAGTTTGTAATTATTTTTAAGGATAGCCAGTTTTGGTCTCAACATTATTCAGGCATAGACTAGACTAGCTCATTTAGCTAGCTAGGCTATTTCATAAGTTGCTTTGAGCTGTCAAAAAAACTGACAACAACATGTAGTCATGTTGGCACACGTCAAACAGAAATCAAAAGCCAGCCTGGCTAAGTAAATCATTTCATGTTTAATTCAGCATTTCTTACAGATTCATTTACCGTTGAACACACGACTTTATTTTTGTTAATCCTGTTGACATTTAACTGTTCATGCGGTCGAGCGCATGCCTTTATCCACCGTAAACACTTCTCAAATTGAGTTTTAGGGTTAGGAAATGTTATGAATCTGACCCCAATCATCTTATCAGGATACCTGCAATCTGCATTGTATGTTCCCCAAGCACATCTACGCACCATTTTGAATAAAACCGCGGTATTTACTTTTGATGTAGCAGTTGCCAAGTGAAAGCTTGTGAGCACAAGATGGCGGGTAGCAACAAGCAATACCGCACTGAAGTAAACGGATCACTTTCATTGGTTAAAAATATCCGTCGCGGAACGGTCCATTCTACAGTACTGTGTTTGTTTACATTGACAACTGTCCGTTTCTTAGAAAGGGCGACAACCAAGATTAGCACCGATGTCTATACGCCGTTTTTCCGGCATAGTTACTTGAATATGCGACTGAGGCCCTCGAATCAATAAATTTCAATATAACAAGAGCGCATGACTCTTTGGCAAACAGGCCAAATCATCATTTTTTGTTTGTTTGTTTACTGGGCCCTGTATGTATTGCGCATAGGTGAAACCGGGCTATAACAAGAGCGCGCACGACTATGTTAACACATGGTTTTGGTCCCGTTATAACATGGGCAAAAGAGGGAAAAATAGCCGATTTTATGCTATAATATATAAAAATATGGCAATGGAAATATAAAAACGTTCTTATAATTATATTACTTAATGAATCCAATGTCAAAAAACCTACTTCGCACTTTGTATTTCGTGGAATTTGTTTTGAAATAAGTAAATATAAAAGCGTATATAACATTTCAAATATACTGTTCACACGGTGTAAAAAAAGGATTAATGAAATTATATTGACAAAATTAAATTGCGAAGATATGGCAACGTAATGAAAAACATATTAATTGATTTACAGATGCTCAGTGAAACTTTGTCTTGAAAAAAAGTTAATAATTTAAAGGTTTGGGGTACCTTAACTTAAAAAAAAAAACTTTCCTTAGTTCTATTAACCATTAACATTAAATTTTAAAGTCTTATATAAAAAAATTTCGGCACTGAACACGGCAAAAAAATGCAAAGGTAATGGGAAAAAATTTACTCAGAATTAAATTTAAAAAAATACAACTTGTTGTTCTATTTATTTTGATTATAAACGTTTCTCTTTGTTTCCAAAACTTTTGAAATAAATTCAAACAACTAAATGATAAAATAAGAGATAAAAAATGAGATAGAATTTTTATCAATTATTAAAGGCACATTATTAGAAACAAATAGATGTTTACTTCTTTAGAAAGGTCAAAGATGAGTTTTGTTATATTTAAAATATCAATATTATTATCTGGGCATGCTAGATGCTTGTTACCTAAGAATGTAGCGATAAATGTGAAATTATTCGTCAGAAAAGTAGCAAAATGTAACCAAAGTAGTATTTTAACATCCATATAAAAATATATATATCAAATCAATATAACTATACTATTTACCAAAAAAGCAACAGAAAGAAAAGGTGGTTCAGGTAATTAGCCAATGAGTAACTATTTGGAATCAATCTAAGTACACTAAATATAAAAGAATTTTGAAAAATAAAATAAAAGCATTTCTAGGACATAATGGGCCTTTAAAAAGACAACAACAACTACAACAACAATAAATTTTACAGAAAAAAATATAAAAGATAAACATTAAACCATAAGGATGATTATTAATAATCCTGGCAGGTGAGAATATAACAAACGAAATATATAAAGATGATTGCAAAACATATTGATATATTGAATCATTATTAAGAAAGGATATTGATAAACAAGGTGGTTATTTAAACAATAATTAAGAAAGCGTTAATCTGTGGGTGGTGGTTTTTAGAAGACAAAAAATGATACAGAACATATACTTAATGAATGATTTCTAAATGTTTTTTTCTTTTGTTTTTAAGTTATGTAAAATAACTTAGTATGAATTACAAGTATGAGTATACAGTAAATTAGACATTGCTATTTTTTATAGACCCATTATGCCCTAGAAATGTTTTTACTTTTTTGTTTTCAAAAGTCTTTTTTTTGGGGGGGGGGGGGTGTTATGTGTTAAAGTTTCCATGAAATTACTTATTGGTCTTTTATCTGAACCATCTTTTGCTTCTGTCGATTTTTTCCGTTGGTACAATTATATAGGGAATTAGCATTTTGCAAGTAAGTCAAAATAGTAGTTTACATTTTGCTACTTGTATGACTAATTTATTCACATCTATTATTATCTTAAAATAATTGACATCTATCATGCTCTAAAACTATTAGTTACATGTAAATACATTTATATCAAAACTCGAATGTTTGCTTTTTCTAAAAGTGGGAAAATTTGTTTGTTTCTGAGGCGTAACGTGCCTTTAATAAACTTATAAATAAATGCACACACTCGATCCTAATACCATTTATTAATAATTATAAGTTAATTAAAGAAAGAAAAAAAAACACAACAATTTATAAGTTAATTAAGGAAAACAACAACAACATATATTAATCATCTCAAGAAATAGGTTTTACAATGATGGCATTCTGCTCTTTCGAATATAACAATTCTTCATGATATCTTCAGCTACTGCAACACCTGTGCTTTATTTCAAATTATTTATGTTCAACAAGACTTTTGTTTCCAGGGAAAGAGTTATATTACTAAATTTAACACAGTCAGCAATGGTGTAGTGTGTTGTCAGTAAAGACAATATTAATTAACATGTTTCTGCATTCCAATCATTTGTGCACCTTTACTTACTTCAGACGCTTTAAAACCCTACTATAAATCATTCATGAATACGTAAATGAATCTTAAACAAAATTTGCCTTTTCATGTTGAATATGATTCTCACATGTAAAATAATATATTCACTTAATTTGTAAAATTGCTCTCCGATGGAAATTCCCATATGCACCATAATATATATTTTTTGCAGCGTGCTTACTGTAAATGATGTTTACATTTACAATACTTTATGAAAATTTTGAAGAGAAGATGACAAATTTTGAAAATTGCAAAATAAATAAATAAAATCATAAAAAAATAAAAATGACGTCATAAAAGCATAAATGTTAGTAACCCCATTACTACGCTACAAGAAGTTTTATTGCCTAACAATTTTCTGCTTGTCCTTTAATTTGGAAACAATATATTAAAATTACCTTAGAATGAATTAACCAGACCAACAGTTTTCACGTATAATGACAACGAACATAGGTAAAAAGTACATGTATACTTTGTATTTCTTCTTTTCAATGGTACTGAAACTGTCTTTTGTGGCATTTATATAGATACATAATTCTTGAAGAAAATACATAACTCTTGAATCCATTCATTATTTTTGAGTCCATTTTATATACATTCTTTTTTGAATTCATCTTCATTAGAACATTACTTTTGAGCCTGTTTATATACGTTCCTTATTCGTTATTTTTGATTCAATTTTATACATTCCTATTTATAAATACATTTTTAGCCATCGCTTTTTTGAATCCAGTCGTATAAGCTTCTTATTTATGAATCCATTTTTATATATACTTTATATTTATTTCCTAGTTTTGAATCCATATTTCCAACTTATCTGCAAGTCCAAAATTACCGTCCGCAAATATTGAAGCTCTTCCATTATTCGAATACATGATTTTTGCCAGTTTGTACCGACGACCTTCTAATCTCTCACATTTGTAAGTGAAACCCCAAGTTACAACAAACCAAACAACATCCTCTGTGCACGATGCATACTCACTTGCGTTTCTAGCAACGTACCATCTTCTGAAACTTTCCTGAAGCCCATGCAAACTGAAAACTTGAACAGAAGACTTAGGTGTTAAATCATACCATGAACTTTGAACTAAATTCTCAAAGGAAAACCAAGACGTATTGTTTGTTCCTAATCCATTAAAAAGCATGTAAGCTACAGTTGTGCCACCAGAAATAACTGTAAAATTAATATATCTTATGTGTTCATTTTCCCAGTTATCAAAAATAGCTTCATTTTGATAGATACCGTTTGCACATGCATTAATATCCTCGTATGTATGTAATCTTTTGTATAAAGTCTTAATGCTGTACGTGTTGTCAGTGGGCTGGTAACTATACATTTTTGTCCAATCTGCAATTCGAAGTTTTACACAGCAAACGCTTTCAAACCCAGTCCACATTCCCGTAGAAATTTCGCAAAGGATGTTACCATAGACAAGCAGGTTATATCCCAAGTTACAAGATGCATTAACACTGACATGCGTTTCATTAAAAGCATTTAAAGCCCCAAGTTTTCCTTCAATCAAAAATGAAGGATTTTCACAAGCAGAATAAAGATTGGATGTACAGAAGAATTCGTTTACTGACCAAAGTCCACCTGGCAGACAGTGTATTATCTCCGACTTGTTTGTCTCACTACATTTTATTTCCAATTTTGAGCCTATACCAAAGAGATTTCCAAGTGTGTCGGCATTGTTGAACATTGGTTTAGGACAGAATGATTTTTCACACAATGTTTTGTTCTTGCTGTCATATTTTGTATTTAAATTATCTTTAATATGCACCCGAGTTCCTGGTTCTTTTGATTGCTTGTCAAGATAACTATCATATATTTCACATAGACTATATCTACGTAAATATCGTGCGGACAAACACGCTTCTTCTTCATCGCATTTAGTTTGACAAGATTGAAAACTTATTCCATGGAAAGAAATAATAAATGATGTAACTATAAAATCAGTCATACAACTGACATTGATGAAAAATAAATATATACACAGTTTTAGACTGAAACGCAACATCTTGTTTAACTTGATGAGAACATCGTTTCTTTCTTTTAATAAGTCCAACTTTGTCTAACAATTTACCTCCTCCAGGACTGGCGGATAAACAGTCGACAACATGGTAAATAGAGATATTATGTTGTTTGATGTGTATATCTGTTATTTGTTACACCAAAAGATTTATTCATTACTTTGCATTACTGACCTATGTCAGTTATCAATTTCCCACTTATTAAACATTAAAACTTTTACGTTTTGCTAATTTGTACTCCCAGAAACATAAAAGGAAACTTAATGAATCCTCCTCCCTGGATATTAGTAACGGTTGTATTTCTAACTTGGCAGTAATGACATTGCTAGTTCATGCTATCTTTGAAATCAAGCAGTTTCTCTCAAGATTACAAGGCGGTTTACGACAGGGAGTTTCATCGAGACAAGGGTTGTTTTTAATACTCATAATGTAATTTGAAACTGTGTTGTATAATTTATGGTTCAAACGATTAAGATAAACAGTTTGATGTAAATTGATAGTCGAAATAAAGTGCGATCGGCAGTAAACTTGTTAAGTTGTCAATATTTTATCCTTTAGGGATCAAAAGCTTTTTAAAAGTCGTATTTCGATCAAGATTAACACACTTAAATAGCATTTTATATAGACATGTAAATTTACAAGTTGCGGGTCTTTTGCCGATAATGTCAACAGAAAGCTCGCGGAGTAGTTCAAAACAGGTAAGCTTAATATCACCAATAAAGAAAAAAAATGCCAAAAAAAACTGCATATCATGCAGTAATTGTATAAAATATGAAAAAGAAAATTGTTTTTTTTATATTCAATGATTGCATTTTTAAATTATTTTCAATTCAATTTTCCATCAACTGTTTTTCATACCACCTTTTTCTTAGAGGCTCATTAAGCCATTGTCATTATTTTTTTACATAAGCTTTCTGTTATAGTTACCCATTTGATATATAGCTGAGACATCTTCCGCTATTTTTGCGATTCATCATTTAATACAGTTATAGTGTAGTGATTTGTAATTTTGTATGGAAGTCAAAATACTACTTTGTTTACATTTTACTTACTTTATTATTAATTATTTCACATTCAGTACTATGTTTTAAGTGATAGGCATATCACATTTTCTAAATCGATTTTACAACCTTTTTAAACACATTTTTGTCTTTTCTGCAGAAAGAAAAAAAATATTTATGACATGATGTGCCTTTAATTCAAGCCAATGTGTTTTCCGGATTGTCAGAAGAATTGAAATGCAGTGTCATATTTCGAGTTTCAAGAGGCATGTAAAGATGTTCGTTTATTACATATTATTAAATGAGATCGTTTGAATCTTTTGAAACAATAAGTAAAACCATTACTTTTTGCTGTAATAAAAGTAACTTTCGTTGTAAGACCTGAAGGTTTCCGTTACAAATCATATTCAATGTACAAAGTTTTAACACGATAAATAGTGTTCTGATACATTTCAACATCCAATAACATTGCGTTTGTTTAACTCTTACACATCCGTCTTTCATCAGTCATTTTTTTTTCGTTGAAAATTGTCCTTAAATGATAAATATGGTTGCTTATTTGGTACAAACGGTGCGTTTTTGCACTGTCGTCTTGTCGTCCTGTCGCTAGCGAAGCACGAAAAATGGCGCGTTGTCGTGCGGTGCGTTGTCGCGATGTCACCCTGTCGCTTGCCTTATTTAAATACAGATAGCCAATCTTTTGATTTGAGCCGAGCGACAATGTGACATCGTGACAACACTCCGCATGACAACGCGCCGTTTTGTGTGCTTCGTTAGCGACAGGACGACAGTGCGACAACGTACCGTTTAGCGCTTTGTCGTGCTGTTGCTAGCGACAACACGACGCACAAAAAGTGTCCAAAATCAGCCAAAATAGATAAGTGATTTAATAAGTTCATATATTAAGATATTTAGCGTGGTAAGCCATGAGATTTTCTTCATTCATGTCATTTTCTTTAGTTTAAATGCTCATTTTTGACAAATGATCAGTAATGTTTTTGGTTTCTACACGTAAGTGTATTTTTGTTTATTTGTATGACATTAAATTGTTTGTAGTTAATGCGTATTTACTTGTAACTCTCTTTTTATTCTGGTAGGTATGGTGGCTGATTTGTGCCATTCATATTATGGCCCCGCGGCCCCGCTAGGCGAAAAGCCGAGAATTAAATTAAATTAACGTGAGAGTTTAATTGGCGAGGGTGCGGAGCGAAAACACGCTCATTAGCTGGGGCGCGAAGTTTAATGGAAAAAAACAACTTCGCCCTGCGGGGGCACAGGGCGAGATTTAAGAAATAAAACGGCGGCGGAGCGGAGCGAAAACACACTATTTAGCGCCACCGCGGGCGAAGTTTTATTTATTAAATTTCGCCCCGGGCCGTCGCCAATAAGCGTGTTTTCGTTCCGCGCCCCAACCATTTTAACTTGTATATTCTTGACTTTTCGCTTGGCGGGGTCGAAGGACGAAAACACGCTAATAAGCGAGGGCCCTGGGAGAAATTTAATAAATAAAACTTCGCCTGCGGCGGCGCTAGTTAGTGTGTTTTCGCTCCGCGTTCCCGCGGTTTTAACTTGTAAATTCTCGACTTTTCGCTTGACGAAAACACGCTAATTAGCGGGAACTCGCAGCAAAGTTTTATTTATTTAAGTTCGCCACCCGCGCCCTCGCTATATAATATGCGTGTTTTTTGTCCAGCGACCCAGCCATTTTATTTCTTAAATCTCACTCCGCGCCCCTGCGGGGCGAAGTTTTATTAATAATACTTCGCCCGGCACCCTCGCTAATTAGCGTGTTTTTGCTCCGCGCCCCGTCATTTTAACTTGTTAATTTTCGCTTGGCGGATACACGAATAGCACAAATCATCCACCATAGGTAGGCACTCCTTTACGTTGTTATTCTGTTGTTAAGCTGTGATTTTAATGAGGAAACATTATTCCATACCTTATGTTGACTATTAATCAACATGTCAATTTCATATCAACATGTAAATCTTATTCAATTCCTAAATTATCTTTTAATTGGATTTTTTGGGTATTTTATCAATTTGTGTTAATTTATTACAAGAAGCACTGCAATGCCACGAAAACCAGGTTTTCAACGACAAAGTTTTGTTGTGACAGCAATCAATAAGTCAACGTGCACTGAAGTTATTTACTAGAAGCTGAAAATTCTGTTGTAAGCAAACAACCCTGACCTTGCTCCCAGATATCTTAGTGGCAATCCAAAGCTGCAACACAGCAAGTTTGGTGTCAATAGGCCAAAGCAGACTCAAGTTATTGAGCGGAAACCAAAAGTTGACGCCCGATCGCCCGCCCACCGCTTTCTGCATTATAATAACCAGTTGTCGTTGAAACCTGGTTAGAAATTTAGAATTTATCTAATGAAGGAAGATTTTTATCAAGTGTATAGTTAAAGTGACTTAACAAATACAATTGAATTATGCAGAGATATCTCTACGTAAGTAACTGTTTAGAATTTTGGTAAGAAAAACTAATATTTTGTATCATATTTTCATAACGCTCACAATTTTACCTGGCATGTTAATATCTTACGTTTATAAAACTATAAAAACTATTTTTAAAGTTTAATTTTCAATTGTTTATTCAATTAACAGAGAATTGAAGTTGTAATACAGGGGGTCACTTTGGCGCCGTTAAATGCCACAGCTCTTGTTCGAACCTCAAACATGGCCAAATTTCTCCGTGGCATTTGATATCCGCAATTTGTCTTTTATCTCTGATTCAGATATCATATATTTACTAAGTTGTAGTCAGTCACTAGCAGACAAAATGGTATTGGTGTTGGTAGAAATCCAGGAAAGCAAAAAATTCAAAAACTCGTACATACTGCTAATTTACATAACTCATTTTTTATCATTACCCTGCGACATGTAGAAATAGATAATGCATTATCTGAGTGTATAATACCGTAAAGTGTTGCGTGATGATATCTATATAGCTTTTATGTTGCGTTATTATCGCATTATGGGCGATATATCATCATTTTCACTATCATACTGTCTAGGTTCACGTGAGATTATAATTTACCTGTAACATCTATAGTGATATAGATGTATCAAATCACAGCGGGCTATATGTTCTTGTACACAAACAATGATATACTTTAACGAATTAAAAATACCAGCGAACCGGTAAAATTGATAGTATACATAATGATACAATTACAATGTATAAACGAGAGAAAATACCTTTTCAATAAGTATACACAACGTGTGAAGAAGATTAGGGTCATTAACGTGATGTTTGTGATATGCCCAGCAAAACAGAAATACATAGCCGTGACCTATTTCAACACATTGCATTATATAATTTCAAATTTCCTATGGTTTCTTTATTCTTTCTTACCCATTATACGCAGAACACTTTCAATGAGCATTTGAAAACTGTATTAATATTTTTTCATTGATTCATATTGGAAACAAAAGCTAAAAAATGTTGAGTTGTATATATCAGTGTATTTCTTTTCAGAGAGGCTACATTGGGGCAGGGGTAATGAACATTCCCAGAAGCAAAAATAAAAAAAAATATATAAACAAAGATATTTAAAGAAATGAAATTTATTGTCATATAATCAAAAGGTTCATCCGCTCATTCATTTCCACTGAAAGGAAACCACCTTTAAATGTCCTCTTAAATTAGATGTCTTTAAGTTTTTATGGTGTATATCTTGTTTTCTTTTTTTTTCTATTTTTTTTCGCGGAAGCGAAAACAACTGCCATATTATAAATAGCTGTAAGGTAGCTTATGATTTATTTATTTATTTGCTTTTTTATTTATCTATTGCCCTGATTTCTCTTACAGAAAATTATGCAATTATGCAATTATGCATTGCGATAAAACCGTTATAGTATATGAAACTCGTTAGTTACGAGGATATAACACTGGCTGAGCGACAAATTGTCTCGGCCTAACGGCCTCATCAAATTTTTAGCAGAAACATCCCTTGATGTCGCCCCTGCCAGCATTATATCCTCGTAACTAACTCGTTTCATATACTATAACTATTGCATATCGCAATTCAATTAAAGAATTTACGTCCGACACCTCAAAACGCCATGGAGGGCTGAAACTTGTTCATAATGGATAAGTCATTTTATAGTGACCCCTTTTCACTTTGCATTTTGAGTTTGACGGCTGTCCGATAATTCCAAAACATTTTCTTGCGTGAAAATAACATTTGTTCGTTTACAAAAGAAGGGTGACAAATATGTTTCTTTCACTCGTTTTATTAATGATATAAAAATATAGCAGACTGGCATCTGATACAGATTATACACAACATTGTTACAATGTGTAATGGAAAAATAAACCTTTATTGTACTCAAACAAACATTCTGTTTCGTATGGTAGCTGATTTGTGGGTTGTCCTAATTTTGTTCCACAGGACGCCAGGCGAAACATGAAAATACGACAGAGTTATTTTCGTGTTTTTGGCTTTACGCTCCTCGGGGCGTCAGACATAAACACAAACATACGACACTGTGGCATTTTGTCGTAGTTTATTTACGACAAAGTGTTAACATAAAAATACACATGTACGACAAAGTGGTTAGATTTTCGTATTTCGTGTTTTCGTCTGGCGCCCATAGCATAAATCAGCCACCATAGTTTCGCCTTAAACTCCCAAGAACACATGCAAAAAGTGCTGATAAAAATGTACAATGTCTATTCAAAGTAAAATAGGAATGTCTAGAAAAGATAAATTTGGTTCTTTTTCTAACGTATTTTAAAATCGAAATTATATGTAGGCCAAATATTGGCAAATGGCCTGTTTAATTACACAAAAATACTACAATGTATTAATAAAATGTTGGTCGTTCCGTTATACGCTGTATGATTATCTAAAAATATATGAGCCGCGTCACGACAAAACCAACATAATGCGTTTGCGACCAGCATGGATCCAGACCAGCCTGCCCATCCGCGCAGTCTAATCAGGATCCATGCTGTTCGCTTACAAACCCTATAACAATTAGAGAAACTGATAGCGAACAGCATGGGTCCTGATCAGACTGCGCGGATGCGCAGGCTGGTCTGGATCCAGTTGGTCACAAATCCATTACGTTGGTTTTGTCATGACGCGGCTCATATCGTGAATATAAATTCATAACTACTTTAATTTGAACATAGATTAAAGTATATGTATCATTTTTATTGAAGTATTGTAATATTTTATCAGTTAAAATGGTTAAACATTTAAAATTATAATGTAATAATGAAAAATGTGATTGTCAGTCTTATCGAGACATTTGGTTGTACCTCTAAATGCAAACCTAAAAATGAATTCTAAATAAATATTGAGTTAAAACGACGCTTTAAATAAAGGCCCACTATGCCCCATAAATGCTTTTATTTTTATTTTTCAAAAGCTTTTTGTTTTGTTTCTTGTCCTGTTATGGTTTCCCTATAGCCTAAACCATCTTTTGCTTCTGATGCCTTTTTAGCAATTAAAACAGTTATAATGATTGAGTGTTTTTACGAAAGTAAATATATTACTTTGTTAACATTTTACTATTTTTAGAACAAATAATTTCACACATTCAGTGCTACTTTCTACTTGTAATGAGCATCTAACACGCTTTTAAACGGTTATTGTTAAATGATATGAAACTTACGTAAAAAAAAACACTAAAATTTGCCCTTTCTTGAGAAGGAAAATAAAATCGTTTCTAAGACACGATGTGCCTTTAAATTGAAGCGGATATATATATCTGAGAAGAAAACGCGATGTAATATTTTCCCGGTATTTATGATAGTCAAGCGTTTCTATCTCTGTCAGTTCCATTTATCATAACCTGGAGTTCCTTAGGATCTGGAGACTCCGAGTCTCCTGTACATGAGGGTAGTTTTCCTTTTAAAAATGGAGGTATAAAAATAGAAAACGGAAGTACAACTTTGTCACTGACTGTTTCCGGAACTTTTGGCTGAGTTAGTAAACTAACAACCGTACCAACGGCAATAACGGTGATGCACCCGATTAAATTAAAGTACATGTAAGATATGGAGTAAAATGTTTGAAGCCCAGTTCTAGAACTGTCAGCAATTTCTGTGACTATATTTTGAACAGTGCTGGTGTTGAAAAGTACCGATACTGCGTCGGTCCGATTCTGCGCGATGATATATGAAATATTGGACGCGATTGAATCATTTGTCGCATTACATTGGTCAGTAGGCCCTAGTGGTAAATACGGGGCTTTGGGTACCGACGCCGAGAAATTTTGCCCTATACTTATCCAAAGTACAAATCCCATACCTGTCAACGTGGCAAATACCACCGCTTTTGCCTGCGCTCTGCGGAAGAATATAGAGATCAGAAAAAGTCCGGCTTCAGGTCCGCTTATTGCTCCCATAAAGCTAGCCATAATCTGCCCAAGTGGTCCTTCTACATTTGAGAGAATGAACGCAAAACCTACAGAGATTACACCGTATACTACTACTACTCCCTTAGATATGTTAGTCGCGGTTTGTTCGTTCATATCTTTAAAAAATACTTTTATAAAATCTTCGTACGTTACCGCGGAAAGACTGCTTAAACCTGAAGAAATGGTGCTGAGTGAAGCTGCTGCTAAAGCAGCGATAAATAGCCCTGGTAAACCTGGGTAATCGTGAAATAGCTCAAGCATTGTGAATGGAATAATTTGATTTAAATTTTTCACCTGACCCGACGCAAGGGGGTCGCAACCTATATTGGAATAATATGCAAATATTGCCAGACCTTGGATTAAAACTAGAATCCATGTGAATGAATAGATTGGAGCTGCAATGTAGAAAAGTTTTCTTGCCGCTGAAATAGTCGGCGTTGAGTTGATTCTCTGTATCCCGGCTTGTGTAATAGACAAATACAAATACTGTGACGGGGCACCGATAACAAGCGTCCAGAAAGTATGACGAACTGTAGGATCAGGGTTAAAGTTAAACATGTTGAAGCGGCTTTTGCTCAGCTCAATGACACTTGAGGGTCCACCGGCATTTACGACGCTTTTTATCAGCACTGAAAATTAAACAGGAAAGGGTTATAGCTTAATTGTGAGGATTGTTTAAATGATCATAATAATGATTACATAAAAAGGCGATGATTTTTATGATGGTGATATTAATCTATGATTATGATGATGAAAAGATTCTAAAATGCATAATTTATCTTTATAATCATAATGTATAATTTCTATAATAGGTAACTAGTATTTTAACAAGAATTTACTGAGAGAAAACATATAGCTTCGTTTATAGTTTCATAATTATAAACAATTTATAGACGTTCTAACATTTTGATTCATTAAATGTCCTGAAGGAAAAATCTCCGTTTGTATTTCAACAGAAATAAAATGCATAAACTTGTTTGCACCCATTTACTTCGATATAAATTATGCCTTTTCATCTAATTAATTCTTAAAATTATGTATGAATTGTTTAACAAAACGTCCAAAAAACCCTTTTAATGATATTTCCTTTTCAAAATACAGATGCAAATTAATAAATAACACTCGTTGTATTTCTAAAACTTTTTTTCTAAAATCTCTGTAACGGTGTTTCCCGCATTTGCATTCACGTTATAAATCTTATTTTACGACATAGGTAGTAATAAATAATAACAAAATATAAAAAGGCTTTTAATGTTTTCAAAATCCAGATGCATCTTAAAGTTCTGAAATTATATCTGCTTTTGTAATACGTACCTGCAAGTATCCCTACAAGCATGACGATTGATTGAAAGACGTCAGTCCATATGACGGCCTTGAATCCCCCAATTGACGTGTAGATAATGGCAGATGACGAGAAAATAAGAATTGATGACCACATTGGTAGTTTAGCAACTGATTCCAAGGCCAACGCTGTACCAAACATAACTATTCCCATGTAGAACGTGTAATGGATGATGCCTAACGTAACGGCGACGTAACGTACAGAGTTAGTTTTGTAACGTAGGAAATAGTACTCGTAAACACTGGTGACTTTGAGAGGGTGGAATATCGGTACAACAATAAGCGCAGCAAGTAGATATCCACAAATGACACCAACACATTGCATGGCATACTGGAGACCATAGGCGTATGCTTCCGCCGGAAATCCCAAAATTAAGATGGACGACTGGAACGTGACGACGAAAGATAATCCAACTGGTAATGACCTCAGTTTCCTGTTTCCAAGGAAATAATTTTCCGTCGTATTATGTTTTTTGTCCCGGAATGCAAAAAATATCCCAATTGCAACAGAAACAAATATAAGAAGTCCAAAAACAACAAAATCCGGCACAGAAAATGAGCGCGCGAGCGTTTCCGTATCCATCTCTCCGCGTGTGTACACAAAGTACGTCTGCCGTTCCTTTCTGTTAGTTTCTATACGACTGTTGGCTAAGACTTTTTTTCGGTTTAAATCTGGCAGTTGTATAACATGTTTACTTTACGTAGCCAGGTGACCTTCAATTTTTCGGCGTTACATAAGTATATTTATTTTTGCTCTAAACATACAAATAAACACAATGGCATATTTTAACCCATGGTCACATGATTGTAATGTGCATTGGAGTATTAGAAGCGTATAATAAAATCTATATATAAAATTCATTTTCAAATGTAAAATTCGGAATGTGGTTTATAATTATAAACAAGTACATACTGTATCAACTACCTGATTTCAATATTCATAGAATTCACCTCTTGTTGTTTTATTTTTTATACCTTTCATAGCATTGCTTCAAATATTATGTTCTGTAGATAATAGTATTTGTTTTTATTTCTCTTTGAAAAAAATTGTATCACTTTTGTATTGTTAATATATGCTTACCTTGGTAACGTATACATGTACCAAGTATTTTATTAGTTACCTCTCATACTAGAAAACATTATCTTTAGGTTTTATTGTAAGGCATCCACATGTGTTTGTATCATTCCGCGAGAGAGTTATAATTAGATATACAACTAAAACTGAATTCTTGCGTTCTATAATCATCATTATCATTACTTAAATCTGGAGATAATATTATACAACTTAGATATTTTGTAACAGGTTCTTAACTGCTAGTACACATCTTTGTGTGTATGTACAAGGAGTAAATGTTTATTGTTAATAAGCTTTATAGTTTTATTTTCACTATCGTTGTGCCACTAAAATTATTTTCCCTTTTTGATGTTTTTGTTTGATATAAATATAATATAAAACACATAATACGTTACGACTTTAATAACAAATGTTATATTAAAAAAAAGAAAGAGGAATGAAGGAAAGGATGAAGGAGCACATGAATGAAGGAGGGAAGGAAGACAGGAAGAAAGAACAAATGACGGAGGGAAGAAATTAATGAATGAAGGAAGGAAGACATACATGATGGAAGGAATGAAGGAAAAAGAAAGATGGGATGAAGGAAAGAAGGAGGGAAGGACGGTAGGGATAGAGGAAAGGGGAATGAATGAATGAGGGAAGGAAGGATGGGAGGGAACAGGAGAAGGGAAGAGGGAATGAAAGGGAAGAAAGAAAGACAGAAAGGAAGAAAGAAACACAACAAAAAGAAAGGGAGGAAGATATACTGACATTTTGGTGGGTTGCTAAATTTAGCTTTCTGACATTTGAATATATTTGAATAATAATGGACGACAGTGTCCGTGACCGAGTAGTTAAACTTCAAAACACTTGCCCTTCACCGCTTTGGGTTCGAACTTTTGATTCTTTCATCTAATAAAGCTAACCAGCTAGCATACGGGACGTCGGTAATTCTACTCAGGCGTCCGTGCGTGCACAGAAGGGCACTTGATGTCTTCCTCCGCCAGTGAAGTTGGAAAGTCGCCAAATGACCAATACTTTGTTGGTGCGACGTTTAACTGAACACAAAAAAAGAATGAAGATACGCAAATAGAATTCAAAAAGAAGGAAAGTTTACCTACACAAAACATAGTTTGAACACAAAAGTCTTAACTTAGTAAAATAAATTTGTATCGCATTACACTAAATAGATTACAACGTGAACAAACGAGTTCACAAACCCGGGTCAAGTAGCTTCATTTTTAATCAAGGTGTTTAATTCGCTTTTTAATGCGCTAAATCACACAATATGTGTAAGGAACAATTGTACTTCCTTGTTGCAAAATGTCAAAATAAATCAAAAATTCTTTGAAATACGACAAGTGGTCAAAATTTGTTAAACTGTAAGTATTAATGCATTATATTGAGGAGTAATGAGATTTAAACATTTTATGGACATAATGTCACATTAAACTTGACAAGAATTTTCGTAAAGATTTTGTCCAGCTTGCAAACTAAGATTATGTCCACATGAGATTTTGTCGGTATAGCGGGTTGTCCAAATATTTCATCGTGTTAACTCTTGCATGCTACATGTCTAAAATATCTTTCCATTCCCAGCTACATAAACATCCTACGCCCGATCAAACCTTAATAATTTTGCCTTCCTTCTCAATGGATGATTTTTTACTTGCCATTTCATTTAACTACGCTATCTTTTTAAACTGATCAAAAATATAGTATGATTAATTTTAAACGCATGTTCTGCTCTTTACTGTTCATTGAAAGATAAATTATAAGTGAACATCATAACATAGATGTTATTGATATACACAATATATATTTAATTAAAACATGAATTCAAAGAAAAATCTAGAACATGCCATGTTTTGTAAGAGTTATGAAACTGTGAAAAGTTGACGCAATAAACTTTGTTCCATGCCCACATGTCAATTTATGCGTTTGGCGTCGCACCATAAAACAGATTGAAATTAATAGTTCGCCAGTTTTAAAGTAGGGGGTTTAAGGAACATTATAAATTATTGATTCTTCTAAGAGAGTAAACATGAATACCGATTAAATAATATATTTTAAAGGACATGTAATAATAATAATAATAATAATAATAATAATAATAATAATAATAATAATAATAATAATAATACTCATAATCATAATTAATAATAATAATAATAATAATAATAATAATAATAATAATAATAAAATAATAAAACATAATAATAATAATGAAAATGATAATAATAATGATAATAATAACAATAATGATGATGATGATATTTAATAATAATAGTAATAATAATAGTAATAATAAAAATAATAAAACAAATAATAGTAATACAATTATAATAATGATTTTATACTAATAATAATAATAATAATAATAATGATAATAATAATAATAATATAATAATAAAACATAATAATAATAATGAAAATAATAATAATAGTAACAATAATGATGATGATGATGATATTTAATAATAATAATAATAATAATAATAATGTTAATAATAATAATAATAATAATAATTATAATAATAATAATAATAATAAAAAATAATAGAAATACAATTATAATAATAATTTTATACAATTATAATAATAATAATAATAATAATAATAATTATAATAATAATAAAATTTCTCGAAAAATGACTGTGTTGTACAGTACATGTATGTACGAAGAAGTCACCGAGCGTGGACACCACACTCTACATGTTCATGTTATGGAATGTTTAAAAGATATATAGAGAAACTATCCGTCACAGGGTCTATTTTTTTGTCAAATGGTTAAATTTAATTAAATGTATGAAGTATTTTTGGTAATAAAAACAGTTGAAGTAAATCGTACGCCCGGGTCGATCTTTTGTAAAAACGGGCGATTTATGTTACATATAGAGATCAAATGTTAATGTGGTATTTAAAAGGGTTTTTTTAGGGGGGGGGGGGTCTGGGTTATCGGTGTTAAAATAGTTTAGGCATTTTTGCTGACTTAGATTTCATACTAAATATATATCGTTTACACTATATCAAAAGTGTATAAAATGCCAAATTGTGTCTCCAGTATTAATGATTAATCTGGCACCTCCGTACTCAATGATTTCACATACACTCCACAACTGCAAATTCCTTAGATTCTAATAACTTTTATTATTTTTAGCCAGGTTTAAATGTACCTTGCTCAGAGTCCTCTTTTTACTGATACTTTTTTTGTCTTCTGATTTCTTTTCAATTTTGTCATTAATGTCCCAGATTACGGAAAGATTAAAGAAATATGATGTCAATATACAAAATATATGCTTTTGCTTATGACGCAAACAACTACAGCTGACGGAACTCACATCTCGGTCAAAGCGAGATCTCATCAAATCGGAACTTCTCGACAATCAATAAACATCTCGGAGTGAGTACGGACTGACAATGCTTCTACAACGTTGTTATCTTTTTAAAATGTGTAGATTGTTTCCGATTTAAACAATATTTACCTCCCTTGCCAAAAGTGGCAGCCATTTTGGAGGTCGATTTCCTAATAGAAAACAAAATATAAAAAAATCAAAATAATCAGCTTATTCACGTGAATTGTCAAATTCTGTTTTACGTTATTATGATAGAAAATATAATAATTGCATCAGTATGTAAAACTTTCTATCTGTTTTTATGAAGACGATAAAGTTATGAGCGCCGCGCTGAACGCGGCGTCTAGTAAATATGCATTTGTCCGTACAGCCATGTGGAAATTTTAAACTTGATTTTGTGTATTTTTAGTTTTGTTTAAACAGAATCACACTGTTTTCAATCTTTTTAATAAAAAATAGCTTTTCTGATGTTCAACATGTCACAGACATTTAAGCGATTAAATTAAACGTTTAAATGAAATGATAGTGCCGTGTTTGAATATCATATTCTTATTCATCATTACATAATAAATAACGTGCCAATGAGCCAGTCTATAGTCGCTCGTTCTAAAACTTAACCGTTGAGAGAGGTACCGACTGAGGCAGTGTCACTCACTTCATTTCCTCCGCCTCTGTTGAAATTTAGTCTTCGTCGACGGAGCGGAAGGGAACCAAGACAACTTTGATCAATCATTAAATTACAAGTTACAAAGCTAAAACCACGCCCACTAAGGCGGTTCTCCCTCAACCGTTAACTCTGAGCACCGGTTACACTATGGCCAGTAAGGGGAGATCACTGCAGAATAGTTCGTCCTCAAAAACATTCGAACATTATGCAATTCGTACCAATATTTAAATGGACATATTATCAGCACATGTTGTCTTGCATTTATTTTAAGTATACCAATCATTTCAATTTTATTTGTTATCCAATTTATTTTGTTTCGACCAGACGTTACAATATTTGTCGCAACAGACAAACATTTCTGAATTTCAGACATAGCATTACTTTGTGAATTTATGCATTAGGTTCTACTTTTTCACAAAAATATGCAACTTAATTATTAAACAATGAGCACATACCAAGAACATGAAGAAAGATTTGATTTGTGCTTCGGATATTCAACTGTAATAGAGAACGATTTTCAATGTTGATTGACTGTTCACATCATTTGGCAGCGTCTATGATGAGCAACATTTAACTTGTCTTATCCTAGGCATAAATAATATATTGGAAATGACCCTCAAAATGGCGGCCAAGGGGTGGGGGTGGGGGTGTTATAATTGCTATGTGAAAAGCATCTATAACGATGTATTTATATGGCATTGTGATTGGATCTCATCCTTGCAATACCGGTATATCCTACACATGTATCTAACTTATATCCCATCAGCAACCTGTAACATATTTCTATTGCGCCATTTGTGCAATATATATAAATAAAAAGCTTCATTTATACAATAAATTAATATCTCCTTTTGAAAAGAACCAATTTATTTTCTGTTTATATGCAATCTTCGGCAAACCTGCAACCTGATTTATGTAAGTTCACGTACACTTTAAAAGTTTGAGTAGAGCTGATGTGGGAAAAATATCCAGTATTTGTACAACAGACCTGTTAACTATGTACATATTAAAATATCAATTACGATGTTAACATTATAATAAACATTAATATGTACACAATTGTTATCGCCGTCATAATATTTGCAAATACTAGTATTTGTAAAACTGTTTTCATGTGTTATTTAAGAATTGCATCCGTTACATTTGACCCATTTTCGTAATGGATTTGTCGTATTTTAAATTTTGACAGTACATTCATTTTTTGAGTTATTTCAGTAATGCTAAAATCCAGTTGACACCAATAAAGACCTGATCGAACTGCACTGGTGCGCAGGTCGACTCCGCCAAATCAGACTTCACTGATGCGAAGGTTTACACCGTCTGGTGGAACTGCACTGGTTTGCAGGTTGACACCGCCTGGTGGAACTGCACTGGTGTGCAGGTTAACACCACCTTATCGAACTGCACTGGTGTACAGGTTGACACCGCCTGGCTAGACTGCACTGGCGTGGAGGTTGACACCGCCTGGTCGAACTGCACTGGTGTGTAGGTTGACACCGCCTGGTCGAACTGCACTGGTGTACAGGTTGACACCGACTGGTCAGATTGCACTGGTATGCATGTCGACACAGCTTAATCAAACTGCTCTGATGCACAGATTTACGCCTGGTCAGATTGCACTGGTGTGCAGGTTGACACCGCCCGGTCGAACTGCACAAGTGCGCAGGTAGACACCGCCTGGTCAGATTGCACTGATGTGTAGATTGGCCCCTGACCCTTTATTTGTGACATAGGCTTTAAGCAGCTTGAGTGTACGCAAAATAATAATTAACGTAATATAATCCATACATATTATGCATAATTTTGCACGTAATTTAGACTAGTTGATCTAAAAGGGGTTTAACGGTAACATCCATTTGCCCCTCAATGGACACATTGTAAATGTATGGCGCCATTTTACACGATTTGTTCTCATTTCGAGTCAAGATATAATTGACTTTATAATATAGTCTTTGATCCAATTCACTAACATCGCACAACATGCAGGATATAAAACATTACATTGTAAACAACGAATGAACAAACAACCGACCCGATGAACGAAAGAACGAGAATGAATGAATGAATGAATTACTCAAATTAATTGATTAATTAATTAATGCACAAGCAAATAAAAAAGAAATAAAAAAATGTAAAAAAAAACAAACAAAAAGCAACGAAAATTATAGGAAGAAAAAAAAGAAATAAAATAAATATAAAGAAATTGAATTATTCAATTAAGTAATTGATTGATTGATTGATTGATTAATCATTTGAGCATCATACGCATTGTTTTGATTCTGCGGGGACTCACAATTGTAAATTGGTCTGTCTTTTCATGTACATGTACTTATATCTGTAAACAATGCAGTTGCTTAAAATTTGGTAAAAAAAATCTTCAATATTTAGAATAATATATCATATTCTTTATTTCAAGTTTGTAGTGAATTCATATAATTTATATACGTATACAATATATATTTAATACAGAATTGTATTGATTGGATAATTGTTTTTTTCCCATTTACATACACAATGTTTCAAGTTCATCAACCTTTCGTGTTTTCGTACACGTCAAAGTGAAAAGTACATTAGTTTTACAGCAGGCGATATTATACTCCAATAATTGTCAGAACATACGCTACAATAAGTTACTGTGACCCCCCAAAAAATTGTTACACAACCCGTTCAAGGTTCATGTTCTTTAAACATGTTTTTTTGGAACACGTGTACTAAGTAGCATTTTATGGCTCTTGAAGTAGCTACATAACATAATAAAGTAAGGTTTTTATTAGTTGTTTATGAATAACGTTAATCTAAAAGATTAGATTGGTTCTTGATAAACTATATAATATACGACATCTTTTTTCTTTGATTTGCTGTAGAGCAAAATACAACGAATGTTCATTCACACTGACGGCAATTTTACGCTTTTTTCTGTAATGTTGCTGGTGTGATTATTACAAATGAAACAATTTTCAAATGAATTATTCATCATAAATAAATAATCGTTAAAATTAAAACTTCATTATGATAATATTAAAATTAACATTGTAGTCATCCAGTGAAATGTACATATATAAATGCAGGTAATAATATCTTAAAAGCGGTCTTACTAAATTTGGTAAAAATCTCTACAGAGACCAAAATTATTTCTTCAAAAGAATTATAATGAAAAAAAAATAATCGTTTAATTCAACATGAGAATCAAAATCATAAAAAAATCTATACAGTCTTCATCCTCATCCATTTTTAATTCTGAGGTCAATTCTTTAAAATGTTTATAGAAATCATTTAAGTCAACAGATTCGCAACAGTCAGAATTATATTTTGATTTAAACATTTTCCAGAATTATTTTTTGTCCCTGTACTCATTAAGGGACAGGTGATAAGGAATACATACAATGGAAAATCGTTTGTTTGATTTTTCACGTTCGCGCTTCACGTTCACGCAACGCGTTACGGTATATATGGAATACCGGCCTTACTCGTAGAATTTTCTCATGGAATTTTGTCATATCGCATGATTTCTTTAGTGCCGTGCAGTATCGAAATACATTGTTTCCTTTCGAATAACATATAACATTGTATCGTTTCGAATTACTCTATTTCAATTCTAAAAGCACGGTATCGTTTCGAAATTAGACGGTATCGTTTCTAATTTAACTGTATGGTTTTTTCACTGTATTGTTTCGAATTCTTTTTTGATATACATGAATTTATTTTCATACGGTATATCATTGCACATTTTGAACACGGTATAGTTTCAGATTACACTGTATTGTTTAAAATTACACTGTATCGTTTCAAATTATACTGTATCGTTTCAGTTTACACTGTTTTGTTTCAAATTACACTGTATCGTTTCAGATTACACTGTTTTGTTTCAAATTACACTGCATCGTTTCAGATTACACTGTTTTGTTTCAAATTACACTGTATCGTTTCAGATTACACTGTATTGTTTCAAATTACACTGTTTTGTTTCAAATTACACTTTATCATTTCAGATTACACTTTTCCGTTTCAATTTACACTGTATAATTTGAGGTATTAGAAGACCTCGCCTATATCTTTGTACATGTAACCAGACAACATAGAAACAACCATGTGATTCAAGATGTACTGTATTCAGTATTGTCAGTAACTGTATTCAATCATGTACGGATGTCTCTAAGTGTAATAGTCGACAAAATATACAGATATTAAGAAAATATCACTCAATTGATAGATCTCTTCATAGAATTATTAGATTTATGGATTACAATAAGAATTTCGCCACAATACATTTACTAACAAAATAGCACAGGGAACCGTTTGCGGTTAAATCTATTGTTATACAAATGACGTCAGAGAAATGATGAATCATTAAGGAGAACGTCGTATTCTAGGGGACGCTTGTTCAAGATAAAGTCTCTGGCGAGATTCGAACCCACAGCGGCCAGAGGCATGTGTGATTTGAACCCGTGAAGGGCAAGTTGTCTTAAGATGACACTCTGACACGGAGTTCCTTAACAAATGCAATTTTACTTTATCGACTGTATTCAATTTTAAACTACTGAAATATTAATAATGTTTTTTAAGAAAATTTGTAAAAATAAATATAAGACCAGAATAATCATTAAACTGAAACTACCGAAACCGATCATTCAAAACAGTGCTGAGAAATTTTCACGGAATATAAATATATTAATACCTAACATAATTGTTACAAAAACGATTGAAACTGAGAAATAAATTTTGTCGAGCAACCTTGAAACTTCATTCCATTCCACACCATCCACCCTTTCTGACGTTATCAAACCGACATCTTCGTGACATGAACTTCTAGTCGATGTTTTTCTGTCTATAATATGTTCTGATTCATATTTCGGTATTTCAGATTTTGAATCAACTTTTTCAGCACGCTTGCCATGAACGTTGCCAATATCTTGACGCACGTCCTGGTGGTCTTGTTTTGGTTTTATCAGAATCTTCAGAAAAATCGAAGGAATGGTTGTTGTTTCTCTCGACAATTTTGATATGCGAATAATGACTATGCTCCATATAATACTAAGCGTATGCATAAAGTCAGCTACAGACAGAACCCATGATAATACACCTATCTTCAATGAATTTCTTGGCATATCAGCGACTAAAGACATGTTTACAAACATCAGAGCTAGGCAGAGAGTTACAGCAAATGACAACCGTTCCCCCGAATCCGGTGGTATAAGTGGGACACAGAGATTCAAACAGGATAGAAGCCAAGCAGGTAAAAACAAGTTAATGATAACAAAGCCTGGTCGTCGACTTGTCTGTAAATGGTCGGAAACAATTGAGATATTTATAGACTCTTCATAGATCGGTCGGTTGTAAATTGCAGACGCCAACCATTTTATATCCCATTCTTGATTTGCAATGTAATTATGTGTTATCACAAGATCTTCTTCAATAAGATAAAGTTTCAACTCCTTATTAGAATATCTAGAGTCATAAAATAAGAAATAACATTCATGTTCATCGAACGGATACAGAAACATGTTGATTACACAATACGCAGATGTGTATTTGATGATGTTTAACTTCACACGTCCGTTGGATGTCACTTTTGCTGTCTTTAATTCTTGCTGTCTTTTGTTGGGTCCACATGTTTCGGAAGAAGCTCTTTCCAAAGACGGAGACCAAATCAACCCAACTGGAAGATCGATGGTTGATAGACCATTAAAGTCGGAACTGTTCCAGAGTAAATTTTGGTCGAACCAGGAGAGTGTAAAATAGGACAGTACACATATCTCTGCTGCTGGGACATCCAGGGCTTCTACCATTCTTATTTCGTGAGTAAAATTGACCTGAAATAAGTGAGTGATTATAAAAATTACCTTAAAAGATTTATTAAAATATTTATTCATTTACTGTTTCGTTATATCCATTGTCATTTATATAACATATAATGAATTGTCCTAGAACACAATATTCAATATTCATCATAAAAATGTTCACATTTTCAAGCCATATTTCGTCTCCAAATGATGCATTTCTTGTTTTTATCAATATTTGATATTCCTATTGAAACTGTTTCGTTGTAAACACGGATTTATATTACATTGTAATATAAATCCGTGGTTGTAAACCAGTCTACTTTAAAAGTCGGAAGAAAATCTTTAGAAATTACCTGTAAGGTTTCGGACAAGTTTTTCACCGGACGGATATCTTTCCTGTAATATCTTGGGTCAAACATTAGGTCAATCAAGGCTCTCTGATCACTGTAACTTTGGGCGGCGCACAAATAAACTCCAGTCGTTATGTTCATCACGAAACAAATCAAAAACAACAAAATGGACATGATGCATATGTTGTTTTAAAACTTTTAAAGAGTATTAGATCCGGGACACGTCTCGTTTTCTCTTTCTGGTCTCGTTATGTAAATTATATCTATATATTCTCCCGTAAAACCGATAGCAATAACGCCGTAAATGTTTTAAAAAGAGAATGCAATTCAAAAATAACGTTTTTGAAATAGCTCTTACGACGTCTCTTGAATATAACTTTTGCTATTCACCTTTCGTCTCATCGCCTTTTTAGTATATATTTTGTTGTTATTTTATTAAAATGAAATCAATTTATAATAATGGACCTATGACAAAAAGCACTTAAAACAAAAAATGGTTATAAGTGAGCCATTAACATCATACAGCATAACACCTTGTTCCCGGAAGCTCGTTCGTGATGTTAACAAAAGAAATGTTGTACCCGAACACACACAATTACACTTTATCATCATCATGCCAATGTAAATACTGTGCCTGACACGGTTGCGAGTCATAGGGATATTTATTTAATGTCGAAATAAAAAAGCTGAAGAGGAGAGATCCATTCAGAACATTAAAAACCAAAGTAAATAGTCGGATCTCGTACTCCCATATTGTCGAGAATGTTAATGAGATATTATGGAAATAATGTACAATGTTCATCTCCCCATAGTACAGGCTAAAACAGTTTTTCAATGTTTAACTTCCCATAGTACAGGCTCAAGTTGTATATAATGTTCAACTCCCCATAGAATAGTCTAAAGCGGTATTCAATGTTCAACTTCCCATATCACAGACTCAAACCCTATTCAATGTTCAATTTCCCATAGTACAGGCTATAACCCTATTCAATGTTCAACTTCCCATAGCACATACTCAAATCCTATTCAATGTTCAACAACCCATAGCAAAGACTCAAATCCTATTCAATGCTTAACTTCCCATAGTACAGGCTAAAGCTGTATTCAATGTTCAACTCCTTATAGTACAGACTCAAGCGGTATTCAATGTTCAACTTCCCATAGGACAGACTCAAACCCTATTCAATGTTCAACTTCCTATAGCACAGACTCAAACCCTATTCAATGTTCAACTTCCAATAGCACAGACTCAAACCCTATTCAATGTTCAACTTCCAATAGCACAGACTCAAACCCTATTCAATGTTCAACTTCTAATAGCATCGCCTCAAACCCAATTCAATGTTCATTCAATGTTCAACTTCCCATAGTACAGGCTCAAACCCTATTCAATGTTCAACTTCCGATAGCACAGGCTCAAACCCTATTCAATGTTCAACTTCCCATAGCACAGACTCAAACCCTATTCAATGTTCAACAACCCATAGCAAAGACTCAAACCCTATTCAATGTTCAACTTCCCATACAACAGGCTCAAACCCTATTCAATGTTCAACTTCCCATAGTACAGACTCAAACCCTATTCAATGTTCAACTTCCCATAGCACAGACTCAAACCCTATTCAATGTTCAACTTCCCATAGAAAAGACTCAAATCGTATTCAATGTTCAACTTCCCATAGCAAAGACTCAAACCATATTCAATGTTTATAAGACAAGTTCAAGCGGTATTAAATGTTCAACTCCCAATAGTACAGACTCAAGCGGTATTCAATGTTCAACTTCCTATAACACAGACTCAAACCCTATTCAATGTTCAATTTCCCATAGCGTAGACTCAAGCCCTATTCAATGTTTAACTTCCCATAGGACAGGCTCAAGCCCTATTCGATGTTCAACTTCCCATATTACAGACTCAAACTCTATTCAATGTTCAATTTCCCATAGCACAGACTCAAACCCTATTCAATGTTTAACTTCCCATAGGACAGGCTCAAGCGGTATTCAATGTTCAACTCCCCATTGTACAGGCTTAAACGGTTTTCAGTTTTTAAGTCCCCATAGGAAAGACTCAATCGCTTTTTTCAACTTGCCATAGTACAGGCTCAATCGCTATTCTATGTTCAACTCACCATAGGACAGGTTCAAGCTGTATTCAGCGTTCAACTCCCCATAGCACAGACGCAAACCCTATTCAATGTTCAACTCCCCATAGAACAGGCTCAAGCTGTATTCAATGCTCAACTCCCTACAATACAGACTCAATCGCTATTCAATGTTCTAATTCCCATAGTAGAGCCTTAAACGGTTTTCAATGTTCAACTTCCCATAGTACAGGCCCAAGCTATATTCAATGTTTAACTCCCATAGTACAGACTCAATCGCTATTCAATGTTCAACTTCCCATAGTACAGACTTAAATGGTATTCAATGTTCAACTACCTATATTTAATTTCCCATAGCCCAGAATCAAATTTTTTTCAAATTTTAACTCCCCTTAGCTCTGTCTCAAGCGATATTCAACTAGAGGGAAATGCAAATCTCTTTCAACGTATTCAACTTCCCATAGTACAGGCTTAAGCGGTATTCAACTCCCCATAGTACAGACTAAAGCGGTATTCAATGTTCAACTCCCCATAGTACAGGCTCAAGCGGTATTCAATGTTTAACTTCCCATGGTACAGCCTTAATCGGTTTTCAATGTTAAACTCCCCATAGTACAGCCTTAAACGGTTTTCAATGTAAAACTCCCCATAGTACAGCTTATAACGGTTTCAATATATCAATTCCCTAGTACAGCTTAAGGGTTTTGTCTGACACCATTGGTAATCTCAAAAATTCGGTTAAGTGTTTGGATTTTATGCGCGTTTTTTCTCCCTGATGCTTAGATTGGCATGTTTTTCTTTCTCAAGGATAACAATACGAGCAGTTTTATAGCTATTAGATACGGCTGCTTGTAGAACGTGTTTCTTTTTAGATTAACTCGATGTATTCATTCTATTTAATTATAGGCTATAAATAAAATCTGAAAAAAAAAAACGAAATTCTGTTTATACATTAGATATTTGAATTCTTAAATAAAACTGTATAAAAACAAAGCTTTGTTAGATTATTTCTAGATCTATATACATGTATAGTTTATTAGTACACCGTACTTTATATAATCTTTAAATATAATATATGAACGTTAATGATAAAAAATAAGAAGTTATGTTATTTAACTGCAATATGATTTCCTGATCGCGTTGCTTATATTTTGGCTCCATCGAATTTTGCTGAAAAGAAAACGCGTGTAAAACTTCTACCTGATCAGTTAGCGCATTTTTCTTTTCTTTTTTATCCATATGGAACCTAAATTTTGATACTATGCGAAATTGGGTTTTAATGTTTTTAGTTTACTTAATTTTTTTCTACGGAAGAGAAATGTGGTACTATTTACTATTTAAATCGTTCGTTAATGACCCTTATCCTATCAAAGCAAAAGTCTCGATAATGATAGTTAACACCAGGAACACAAAGCACTGACCTTTAACTTTAGAACGCAAAACCTTTATAATTTGTTATATGATGTAACTAATCTTGTTTATTTTAGGGACACTGTTTATTTAGTCCTTGTAGTAAAACGCATTTGCCATGCTACAGTCAAAATCTCTGTAGTAACAGATGTCAGTTGGATATTAAGTTAACAGTCGTCGGATTACTATCAACACGTGCGCTCTTGTAGAGAGATGGATACGGAAACGCTCGCGCGCTCATTTTCTGTCCCGGATTTTGTTGTTTTTGGACTTCTTATACTTGTTTCTGTTGCAATTGGGATATTCTTTGCATTCCGGGACAAAAAACATAATACGACGGAAAATTATTTCCTTGGAAACAGGAAATTGAGGTCATTACCAGTTGGATTATCTTTTGTCGTCACGTTCCAGTCGTCCATCTTAATTTTGGGATTTCCGGCGGAAGCGTACGCCTACGGTCTCCAGTATGCCATGCAATGTGTTGGTGTCATTTGTGGTTATTTACTTGCTGCACTTATTGTTGTACCGATATTCCACCCTCTAAAAGTCACCAGTGTTTACGAGTACTATTTCCTACGTTACAAAACTAACTCTGTACGTTACGTCGCCGTTACGTTAGGCGTTATCCATTATACGTTCTACATGGGCATTGTAATGTATGGTACAGCGTTGGCCTTGGAATCAGTAGCCAAACTACCAATGTGGTCATCAATTCTTATTTTCTCGTCATCTGCCATTATCTACACGTCAATTGGGGGATTCAAGGCCGTCATATGGACTGACGTCTTTCAATCAATCGTCATGCTTGTAGGGATACTTGCAGGTACGTATCATTTAAGAGACATTATCTCTCTGTTTTATAATATATATTCCCAACATTTAATTTAATTGATTACATAAATACAAACAACATGTAAATCAAATACAGTGCGTACGTTTAATTACACTAAAATACGAACAGTACATTATTTTCTTTCAGCCCTGAAGATATAAACTGTATATACATGTACTGTACTGTATATACAACAAGAAAACATCTATCAGGAATGTAATAATTATCACAACAGTATTCGGTTATAACAACAAAGACCAAGCTTGGTGTGATGGAGAACAAACACAAATGTTGTTGTTTTTATTGATAATCTTCTATTATCATAAGATATATTTGATAAGAATTAGAAATAATTTCTTAATCATTAGAAATTAATACAAAGTTGTGTAACAAAGGAGATCTTTATATCAGTACCTTCCCAACAAATTGCACCCCCCCCCCCCCCAAAAAAAAAAAAAAAAAAAAAAAACAAAAAAAAAAAAAAAAAAAAACAAAAAAAAAACTAACAAAAAAAATAATAACAAAAAAAACAAAACAAAAAACAAAACAAAACTGATTACATTAATATTTTATCTTGTTTCATTACATTTTGCCCATTGTATATCCTTTTTGCTTGCTTATTTAACCTTCTTCTCGATCAAAGTATGATTATTATTGTCTCTCTTAGTTATGTTAAAACGCTTGTGTAGTAAGGTCAAAAGTTCACTTGGTCATTATCCGCCGCATTTGAATATTAGTCAGAATTGTTCGCAGATGTGGAGTGCAGAAGAAAAGCAAAACAAAAACAAACAATATCAATTCACCTCACGGTAATGGCTTGTGTATTTGCTGCAGCAGTCACGTAGAAGAAATGCGTATACATTAATACATTTACGGTTATGTTTAACTCATTTTTCGGCCTAGTTTTGCTTTTTATTGTAACTGTTGTCAATTGGCTCGTAATTCAAAAATTGATAAAAACATCAAAAATGTATTTTTGTGCAATACATCGTGAACAGTAATGTGATTTAGTATAAACATTTAACATTTGAAATGCACGATGTTATTTGACGTTTTTACATTAAGTATTATGATGCCAAATCGTTATAATTGGGCTGCCCCATGAGAAAACCAACATAGTACAGAAAATGACGTCAACGAGAAAACGTTATTTGAATCTAGCGTCTAAATATGCACGCTTTTTAGCTTTTTATCAATTTACCGCGTACACAATTGACATTACGCCAGAGAAGAGATTGCTCCGCCCACTGATTGACGTGACCCGGTCATTCAGAACCTTAGACAAAAGACGGTACCGACGCTTACTCTAAACTGTCATGTCACTTAAGTGACTAATAAATTTACATTATATCATTTGGTATATATAAAATATTAATGCCTTTATTGAATAGTTAAATGTATTATGGTATTTAAAAATGTAACAAATAACTGCATTCACGCATTAATGATGAATAAAACGTTTGGCAAAGATCTTGTTATATTTCTTGCTGACATCAAGGAAGATGTTACTGACAAAATATCATTTTAGCTTACAAATTCAAAGATAGTTAAAACTGATGTAGTGGAACATAAACTAGTAAAATTATATCAATGAAACTGTAATATTTACAAATGTTTTTGGGGTTTTATGTGCGAAATAATTAATATATAATGCATTTGCGCATAAATTGTCAAAATTAAATGAGAAAATTTCCCTTGCGTAACTTTGTTGTATGATGTATGATTATAATGTTTATTTGTACATTAGATATTTTCGTGATAAAACGCAATATTATTTACTTCAAAATAAATTTCACATATACCATACCTCAACTTTAAATTAAAACCGTGATCAGATATGATGTTATTGAAGCAGATTTATTTAAATATTTAATCTTTAATCTTAATTCATTGAGCTTTAATAGAAATATTTAGGTAGGATAATTTCAGCTGAAATATTTATTGCATATTTTTTCATTTTATTTGCAAGTACTTTTTTTTCTACTGCAGCATTTTATTGACAATATGTTATAACGAACAAAAAATGTCATATCATCTGGATATTCTGAGACCTTATAATATATTATGTGATTATGAATACTTACCACTGTTAGCTCACTATGGCGCGTTAAGATATATTTTTGACGCAGGGCAGAAATTCCCGAAATTAATGTATTAATAAAACGTTTTCATCAAACCATTTTATTACATAATGTTTAAATTATAGGTAGCTCAAAAAACAAAAAAAAATACGAGCTGAAACTTTATGCTCGCCCACTCTTGTCTAAGCAGTAAATTGTGGCTTATAAACAATCTATCGTGCGTTAACTTTACCAATTTTTTAAATATATATCAAGTTTAGTAGAGCACTTGTTTCTACCTTTAAATAAAGAAAGATTGACATTCACAATACAGTTATTTAAATGCTAAGTAATTTATAAATATTAATCAATTACAGTTTTGCAATAAAGCACATATTTTCTGCATCTCATTTATTTATATAATTTGAAAGAATTGTTCTGCTAATATTCCAGTAATATATTATGAAGAGCTATATTTACTTTCCAAAGCAAGAATGCAATTTTTTATCACGGCATGTTGTTCAGCCTTGTCTTCTTAAGCTACTATTTTAGTCAACACGTAATCATGGTTAATTATATTTTTGTAATGGTATATAAATGCATTAAAAAAACCCGGCGACTTTACCAGTAACAGTTCGGTTGTATGACATAAATAGTAAAAAGTGGATGCTCACTCTCGCAAAACTTCAAAGAGCATTTTAACTTATATACGAAAATGATTGTTAGATGAGAGAAGAATACTATGCATATAAAGCCCATCACAAAAACAACACTCGTGTTAATACAGTTTTATACAGCATTCTTCGACCATTCGGCAAATATTTTGCTTGAAAATTAATGCGCCTGTCATTTGACAATCTTTACGCAGTGATCTCCCCTGAATTTTTCAGCGTTAGTGTACATATAAAGGGAAGTAACCGCTTCAAAAAAGCGGATTACTTTCTGCATTTGCAATTAACAGCATCAGGGTCTGAAATTTCGCTACCATTATTTGTTTGGTCTGACGACCCAAACAAATAAAAACAACTTATTTTCTAACAAATGGATACCTATATACGTGTATGCTATTTTAATGGATTGTCACACTTGTGTTAAAAGTACGTTACGGTAATTTAAAATAAACAGTGTAGCAACAGAAGTCATGCAAAGAAATTCTTTTATTTATATAAACATATTAGAGGGACTCCACTGAGGTTTTAAAAGCCTAAAAAAATAACATATGAATTTCTTACATAAATGACCTGGGGCACTGTAAACAGAAATATATGCTAAGATAATTAAGAATTATTCTTATATATTATTGAACAATTGATTTTTTTTCTCTGCAAAACGCCTTTCATTTTTAGAAATTTGTACACAATACTTTCCAATGTCTCCTACCATTATAGTTACAGATCCATTAAACCGACCGAAGCAAAGATACTTTGAGCACTATTTCTTTCTTTCTTTCTTTCTTTCTTTCTTTCTTTCTTTCTTTCTTTCTTTCTTTCTTTCTTTAGTTCTCTCTATATTTCTTTATTTCTTTCTTTCTTTTTTTTCTTTCTTTCTTTCTTTTTTCTTTCTTTCTTTCTTTCTTTCTTTCTTTCTTTCTTTCTTTCTTTCTTTCTTTCTTTCTTTCTGCCTATCTTTCTTATGTGTGTCTAGAGGGAAATAGATATACCAATAGGCTGCTGTTAGGCCTTTAATATACTCTTTGAAAGCACAAAATATGCAAAACATTTCTTTGGAAACTCCCTTAGTAGTTATGATGTAGTTTAAAACAAATGCAGTTTAACATCAATCGTACTTTCATTCATTTCAGTGTTAGTCAAAAGTACAATCAACGCTGGTGGAATGTCAAACGTATTCAAGTTAAGTGAGACTCGTCTGAACTTCTTCAACTTCGATCCAGATCCCACATTACGTCATACATTCTGGACGCTGGTTATTGGTGCCCCGTCCCAGTTTCTGTACTTATCAATTACTCAAGCCGGGATACAGAGAATCAACTCAACTCCGAGTATGGCAACTGCACGGAAATTATTTTACATCGCTGCGCCAATTTACTCATTCACGTGGATATTGGTAATGATTCAAGGTCTTGCAATATTTGCATATTTTTCAAACAAGGGTTGTGATCCACTTGCATCGGGTCAGGTGAAAAATTTGAATCAAATAATTCCATTTACAATGCTTGAGCTGTTTCATGATTATCCAGGTTTACCGGGTCTATTCATAGCTGCTTTAGCAGCGGCTTCGCTCAGCACAATTTCTTCAGGTTTAAGTAGTCTTTCCGCTGTAACGTACGAAGATTTTATAAAAGTATTTTTTAAAAATGTCTCCGATGAAAAGGGAACTAACATATCTAAGGCTGTGGTTGCTATTTATGGACTGATATCCGTCGGTTTTGCATTTCTTCTATCAAATGTAGAAGGTCCTTTAGGACAAATAATGGCTGGATTTATGGGGGCAATAACGGGACCAGAAGCAGGACTTTTTCTGATATCAGTGTTTTTTCGAAGAGCCCGACCGAAGGCAGTAATAGTTGGTACCTTTACTGGAATGTGCTTTGTTTTATGGATAATTCTTGGTCAAAACTTCTCAGCAACTGTGCCAAAAGCGCCATACCTTCCACTCGGACCTACAGACCAATGTTCCGCATCAGATACGACAAATAGTTCACTTATTACATATCGGACAACACCAACACCAATGAACATGAGCACAATCATATCAAATTTGTCCACGCTTCAGGATCACGTGTCGTCCTCGACAGATACCGACCGCACCGGTCTACAAACATTTTATTCCATATCATATATGTACTTTAATTTGATTGGTTGCATCTTGGTTATATCTATAAGCACAATTATAAGTTTGTTTACTCAGCCGAAAACTCCTGAACCAGTCAGCGAGAAAACAGTACTTCCGTTGTCCATATTTTTACCTTCATGTTTGAAGAGGAGATGTTCCGTTAACACTTCCGATTGTGATGATTCTACAGATTCGTATGAACGCGAAGGAATGATGCAAATGGAAAGTTGTAACCGACACAAAGACCGGTTTGTGTAAAATACAAGATCAGGGAGCAGCTATATATTTCGTTTATTTCCAAGGACACTAACTCTCATCAGATTTCTGTGAGAGGCGTTTGGATTACGGTTGCTGAATGCATGTATGAATGGTTTTAATTTGTTGAATGAAATATAGTCTTTCTTTTTTCGCGCATGCATAAAAGTGCGTTCTTAGGGTTTTATTTTATGCCGTTGTTAATTGAAACAATCAGCGACACGGTTATATTTATGACAGGACATTCTAACAGGAATCACTAACTAAAATATCACTGTCACTGTTCATAACGTTTTGCCACGGCCAAATTGTAAATGGTTTCTATAAAATCAAAATTTCGTGAACGAAAATGATAAACGGCCGGAAAACTGCTAGAGACCAGAAACTGCTGTGGAACCAGTATTCTTTTCTAGCAAAATTTTGAATATCATGAAAAAATGTGAAATTTATTATAATGATCTTTGTTTGACTTATTTTATAACTTTAACTAACAGACAAGGATGATTTCGTATAATTTGACGAGAATGTTCTTTATGTAATAGTTTTAGGTTGTTGCTTTTCTTTGTATTTGTGTTAGGAACCCAATATGTTTTTGTCATATAAGATGTCTTGAGTAATTGTCTCTTATTGATATGTTGCCATAATTTTGTTTTCATCTTGTTGTTTGAATTATTGTTGCATGTATTCATCCATCTTCCAAATACATTGTATGCATTGTATCTGAAATTTTCATTTCAACGACGCGTGAATGTGATGTGAAAATATCACTTAAACCCGTAGTTTTAACTGTTTGGCTAAAAAGGAATAAACATGTTTTATTTTCACCAAGTCTTTTAATTTCATTTCATAACACGCAATTTATTGTGTCATAGCATACGACAAATTAACATGTCGAAATCAAATTCACAGCATTGTTTTACCAACCACTTACTTTGTACAGTTGGCGACTAAAGGCTTCGAACCAGCAAGGTTGTTTGTGTGGTTGGCGATTAACGGGATTTGAACCAACGACGTTGCTGACCCGGTTGGCGACATTAGGTATTCGAACTATATCGGTGATTGATAGGTGACTTGACCTTTGAGGAATTGAACTTTTCCAAAATCGTCACAGAGTTACTATCCAATACAGATGTAATATAATTTAATATATCTATTTTTTATGAAGGATTTCCAATTTTCATGTTACTTTAATAAGGGTTTATATAGCATCTATAAATTAACAATCGCTATGAAAAGTATAGTTCGAATCCACTATTCCTTTCTTTATATGTTTATATCAATTGACACTCAAGGGATGTTGATAATTTTTATATTTATAGAAGAAAACTATTTATCTCTTAACTATCGTGGCTAATTTGGAACGCTTTTGTGCGTCGTGTTGACGTTAGCGAAAGCACGACAAAGCGTTAAACGGCGTATTGTCGGACTTTCGTCTAGTCGTCCTGTCGCTTACGATGCACGCCAAACGGCGCGTTGTCATGCGGCGCATTGTCGCGATGTCGCCCTGCCGCTCGGCTTATAAGCCAATCCTTTGATTTGAGCCAAGCGACAATGCGCGATTTGGCGTGCATCGTTAGCGACATGGCGAGAAGACGAAAGTCCGACAACGTACCGTTTGGCGCTTTGTCGTGTTGTAGCTAGACAACACGACGCACAAAAGCGTTCCAAATCAGCCAATATAATAATAGCGTTATAGTATGGCGACTGATTTGGTACATTGCACGTTGCGTTGTCGATAGCGACAACGCAACCTGTAACATTATCGCCTTTATGTCTTGTCGCTAGCGACAACACGACAAAACGCGAAACGGCGCGTTTTCGCGATGTCACCCTGTCGCTTGGCTTATAAGCCAATGCTTCGATTTGAACCGAGCGACATTGTGACATCGCGATAACACGCCACACGACAACGTGTCGTTTGGCGTACATCCTTAGCGACATGACGACAAGACAAAAGTCTGACAATGGGCGCTTTGTCTTGTCGCCATCGCCAACACGACGCACAAAAGCGTTCCAAATCAGCCACCATATTAAAGAGCAATCTCCTACGCAGTTATCTCCCCGTATCAGTACACATAGATATCTGCCATCACGGTCTGATATATATCAGAATTTCTGATATTTTATATTTTTTAGCTTTTGAATTTAGTTTTTATTATTTTGTATACATTTGATAATTTTTGATAAACTATAACGAACGTAGGTACGAAAATTAAAAATAAAGCAGAAAGAGAAAAATGACGTTAGATTTTCTATGTAACGATCGATATTTACATTTGAATTTCGACGTTACGTCATGTGACTTTCATCGTCATGTGGCGTCTGCGAAGGCAGTGATTAAAATCTGTAAAGGGAGGTAATCGCTGTGAGGAATCTGATTTTAGTGTCCAGCTTTATTTGTCATTCAATGAAAACGCTGTATTTCTTAAAAATTATGCGTGTTAATTTTCATAGAAGAAAAAAGTCGATACTATATTGAAATCCGTTCATAGTAGCCTTCTATTTTTCATAGTGCTTCATAGTACCGCGTAGTGACGTAATCAAGGTCCAAATAAAGCTTGAAACTAAATATGTTAGTGTTCATCCTTAGCTGTTCTACAAAAATTAGAAATATTCTCCTGTCGCTATGGCTCCCGTCGAAGTTTCTAATTTCTGTAGAACAGCACGGATGAACACTAACATATACATAGAGTAGTGGAGTGTTCGGTTCGGAAATGCAGAGACCCTGGTTCGAAATCTGGAAAGGCATTTTTACTTTATTTCATTTTTTTGTTTAAAATAGTTTTAAATTTACTGGATTTTAGTTCTTCGTGAATTTCGTGGTCGAGTGGTTAGAGTCGATGACTTCTAATCCAGTTACCTCGCTGGCGTGGGTTCGATCCCCGGGAGATGCTTTGGTAGTTTAGCGCGGAGGAAGGTTGTCAAGTACTGCTGTAACTCTCCAGGAACGATGGTTAGGAAACTACACGCCTATATGACTGAAATACTGTTGGAAAAAGGCGTAAAATGACACAAACAAACAAACAAAATCATATATACCAGGTAAATTTACAGCATTTAGTTTTCCACAGAGTTAAAAGTGAACACAGCCGATTACTGGGGCCATGGTGTTTATAACTGACTGAATAAACAAAGAAATAAATGAACAAGTGTGCCAAAACTTGTCTAAAATGTGGCAAGTGAAATAAGGGTTTCAAATAAAGTAAAAACGTCTATATAATCTGTTTAACGACAGTCATTGTTAAAAGATCAAATATATTTCATTTTTTTCTTAACATTTAAAAAATTTTATTTTAATTTTCAGAACTTCAAAGCATGAAATTGATTAAAATGAAATAATGTTACGAAATAGTAATTAACCACTCTCCTGACAAACTATCAAAACTATAAAAATAGGTTAATATCATATGCTCTGTTGCACATTCTAACTCTTAACCTGTTTACTACTCGGGTAACGTGTTTTCAATTATATTACAATAATAGTGCAGAATGCGATGATTAAATAACTTGTACAACCGGCTATGTAATAATGGTTCTACCGGATAACTCAAACGTTATCTTGTTCGACTTATACATGAAATATTTACAGGAAGTGCCTCTCTTCGAATTTCATTAAAGATCACGTAACTCACTTTTTATGATTTTATATCATAAATATGCTGCTCAAATTTTTATAAAATTTGATAAAAAAATGTATAGGTTCAATATATTGATAAAAATGTATATTTCCGATATATTGATTAAGATTTTTGTCGAGTTTTTTTCCAAAGGAGCAATAAGAAGTTTTATACTGACTCTTACTTTTTACTCATATTTTAGCAACGTTTTTAAGTCTTTATTTTAATCAGATATATATATTTTTTTAATTTTTCAATAATAATTTTACCTAAATATACTATATTTCCCTGTGGATGGTAATATATATATATTCTCAACGCATTTTTATAATACAAAGATTACATGTTGAAATTAATATAAATCCGTTTTAAATCTGTGATGACTATCAATTATTGTCTAGGTGTTCCAAATAAGCAGTCCTAGTCAAGAATGATCTAAAGTTTACTATTGATATCAAATTAATTTAAAATTGATAAAATCAAAATAACGATAATAGAACATAAAAAATATATCCCGTAACATTAGGCCGTGAATATATAAAAAACTCATCTCGTTATAAATCCTATCCTGTTTAATGTTTCAGTCATAAAATATCGTTTCGTAACTCTGAGTACACGTGAACTCGATAAAAGTGTGTGTTCATGGCTGGTTACATTATATGTTATATAACTCGTTTATTTCAGTCGTTCGTTTTATACTTAATCATACAGTATCTATTTTTTGTTTGAGTTAAACCTACGTTATAGGCAGTCAACGTTCTAGCTTTACTGGAAGAGAATGGCCTCAGGTGCCACTCTGCATTCTTTCGGACACGAGCAGGTGTCGGAGTAGAAATATTGACCATCCCTTAGCCAGGTTGATAGATTCGTCGAAAAAAATCAAAAGTACTGGGCGAAATATGAACACACAGGGAATAGTTTGAACCTTAACAACTTGTAAGACAGTAAGACAGTAAGACAAACTTTATTTATAGTCGGTTATGGTTAACAGTACAAAACATAAGCTTTAAGCTTGTATCCGACATGAACAAAAATATATAAAATAATAATAAGGAACAAAGAAACAAAAATAAACAGCAACAAAAATAAACAGACACCATAAGATAATAATACATACAATTAATTCATATAGTCATTGTTATGAAATCTGAGCATTATGAAAATACATTCATGTCTAATGAAGGTATAGTATAATTTACATATATACAAATACATAGTACATAATTCAAGGAAAAGATAACTAAATTTATTTACAAACAAAAACAGGAATCAAGTGAAATAGAAACATTAAGTTTAAATGCACAAAGAGCAGACACACTTGTCATTACTCCATGTTTCAATTAGTCGTTTAAACTCATTTAACTCAGATGTACATCTGAGATCATTAGGTAAACTATTCCAGATTTTAGATGCTTCAAAGCGAAAACTCTTTTTACCATAATTGGTTGTGCGTACTTTAGGTACATCTAATGTATTTTGGTATCTAAAATTATAATTTGATGAACGCACATTATCAAGTTCTTGAACATACTTAGGTGAAATGCTGTTAAGACATTTAAAGACTTCAAAAGCGAGTTGTTTAATTCTATTGATATGGAGTGATGGCATATTGGTCAGTTTAAGCAGATCTTCAAAAGTTGATAAAAGTCATTACAAACTATTTTCAGAGCTCTATGTTGAAGTTTTTCCAATTTGTTTGTATTGTCTTTGCTACAAAAAAGCCAGACTAAAGGGCAAAAATTAAAGTTAAATCTGATAAAACTTTTGTATATAAGAATTTTTGCATCCAGATTAAGTAGATGACATAGTCTGGTTAATACATTAATTTTTCTTGCAGACTTTTTACAAACATTTGAGATATGAATATCAAAATTTAATAGGGAATCTATTTCAATACCAAGTAGTTTTACATGAGATTCACAAGAAATAGTGGCATCAAGAATCTGGAAGTTAGACACATTTTTACAGGTTTGTTTGCCTATACATATAGCCTGAAACTTCTCAGGGATTGCTTGCATAAGATTGTCTTCAAACCATTTAATCATGACAACACATTCATCTTGTACTTTGCTTTTAAGAGTTTCCACATTAATATGATTA